CCCACGTGCAATAATGCTTCCTTAGCTTTCTCTACGGTACATAAGAATTAATTAATTGGGATCTTAAAACTAATGTGCCAAACTTAAATATTGCTTAATAATGTAAAATGAGAGTTTACCTTGCCTATCAGTCCATCTGGTTTGAAAGTTGCATCATCAAGCCCAAGATTTAAGTTCCATCTCCTTCAAAAATAAAGTTAATCATTGTTGATAACGGATATAAACACATAACATTTTATCACTTGAATTAATCCCAATAAATTTAATCATTGTTATTTAAAATCTAAAATATCTATTTCATTTTATTAAAATTAACGGTTGATAATTGGTTTCAAAACACAAACACACACCCCGTTTTGTTTAAGTGTTGGAGTGAATTAAGGGACTTCTAAATATATAATATAATGAATTGGAGTATTTTCATACGGATGCTGATTGGTGCCCGGGTGTGCACCCCCACATAGAGAAAAAAAAAAAGGGACCGGGGGGGTTGGGTTTTTTTTTTTTTCAATGAGGTATTGTGCACACCCGGGTGTTGACCCGGGTGTGCACCTATCTTTATCCTTTTCATACACTTTAATAATAAAATTTTCACCAATCACTTGTTGATCTGAGTAAAAGAATCTCGATTCTCTTTAAATAAGATCTTGAGTTCGAGTCTCGTAAATGAAAAAACATACATTGGAAGAATTTCCCCATAATGAGGTCCGATGCAACTTAATTCTGCATTTGTCGGGACCCAATATAATTACCAAATACCAAGAGATTAATACCAAAAAAATAATAAAATTTTCAATTTTATTTATAGTTATAATAAAAAGATATTGTGTAGCATATCCTGCGTAAAGTGCATAACTAAAAGTCCAATTGTTAAGTGGTAAAATCTTATATCAAAATATGAGAAGAAACAAGTATGACTTAAATATAAAGAATGTCACTTTATTTATAATCAATTAGTTTGAAGTTAGATGTAAATATTGTATTGAAACCCACATATTCAATTTTCACACTCATGATCAATGGAGCCTTTGTGCCCTAAGGGAGCCTCTTTGAGCATATTGCTTTCCAGGAGCAACCTACAAAACAACGATCGATAAGATGAAGAAATAATGTTAATTAGCAAAATCATAATTGAGGAAGGTTACCTTGCAAAGGGAAACGGGTAGGATTATGTGGTGAATGGACTAACCAATATTAATGTAATCAAGTTGTGAATTGTTAATTTTGTATTGGTTCAATGTACTCCAAGAGGGGGGAGAATTGGAGTTTAAAGATTTTTACCTCTTTGCAACCACCAAACAAAAGTCAAAGAGAAAGTAGGGAAGAAGAGTTTGCACAATGATTTTATAGAGGTTCGGTCCAACCACTTGGAGCTTAATCCTCTACCTTAACTTCACTCACCAAGGATTTCCTATACACTCTCCACTAACAAAATCAAGGGTAACTTAAAGAAGTCACTCAATCCTTTTACAAGAAGATGAGTATTTCTCTCAAATCTCACCCCTTTACAGGATAAACCCAAACAATCATATCTACAAATCATTCTTGAAGGAATAATTACACCCTCAAGATCACTCACAAATAGAACAAGAAAAGGATTATAAGTACAGATCTCTCAAAGATAAAAAATATCGAGTTAAAGCACAAGTTGGTAGATAAAGATATTCAAAACAATGCTCTTCAAACTTGTTCCAGATCTTCTACCAACCATATTTATAATCTCATGGTCGAAAATAGTATTTACTAGCCGTTGGGGTCATTTAATGCTCTACAGGTCGTGTAATTTCGAATTGCAGAATTGTCAGTATAGCTGGCTTAAAGTATAGAGCCGGCTCTACATAATTGGCTTATAGTTCTACAGCCGACTTTGTGGGGTTTCCTGCACATTCTGTTTTTCTCGAAGAGCCGGCTGCAAGAAGTAAAGCCGGTTTTATGGGTTTCTTGCCCATTCTGTTTTCCTCGACAGTCGACTACAAAATGTAAAGTTGGCTTTGGAAATTCGACTTTAAAATATTAAAGAAATCCTCAAATAACTTGACTATTGTGAATTTAATGCGCCCTCACAGCTAGCTGCAAAGTCAGAGTCGATTTTGCATCTGTTTTCCATGTGTGCCAAACAACAGACTTGAAATTTTCACCTGTAGAGTCGGCTGTAGCTCTTAGAGCCGACTCTCTGCACTTTTGCCTTCCAGAGCCGGCAGCATATTTCTTTAAGCCAGCTCTCTGCACACTCTAGCCTTTTTGGTCCATTTTTAGTGCAATTCTAGTTTATTTACTTTGTAATCTTTTAGCAGTTTAAGTATACACCAGTGTTGTCAATAGCGGCCGCTATAGCACTATAGCGGCCATAGCGTAGCGGGTCAGAGCATATCTGCTATAGCTATGCTTGTAGCGTAGTGGATTTATGATAGCGGTCGACTTGGCCGCTATAGCGGCCGCTTTTTCTATAGCGGATAGCGGCTGCTATTAACGCTATTAAAACTTTAGTGAAAAGTCCAAAAAAATATAAGAGAGTTCAATGTCAGATCCTTTTTTTTTAAGGATATAATGGTCTTTTAGCTTACATTATATTAAGAAAACAATAAAAATCTTTTTTAACCCTAAATAGAAACAAAACCCTATTCTTTCTTCGCTACACGCATCTTCAGCTCCCTCACAGCCGACCCAATCTCTTCCTCTTCTTCTCAAAGAAGCCGAACCAGTCACTCATAGAATCAGTCACCGGCAGCAACCTACCTTCTCACAGTGATCGACGAACACAAAGCTCAGATTTTGGGTGGCTCGATCAACCTTTGCTCAAGTACTAAACTCTTTTTCCTTTTTTTTTTTCTTTTTTAAATTTGTTTCTTCTCTTCTTTTTTAATAAGTTTTAATTTCTAAATCTAAAATGTGAATCCATCTTTCTCTCTTTTTTTTTCTTCATTTAATTGTTCGGTTGATTCCATCTCTCGTTTTTTTTCTTTTTCTTTTTTTCCCACATTTATTTGTTGGGGACAATAACTTCGGTTGAAATGTTGAATCCATCTTTCTTTCTTTCTTTCTTTTTTTTCCAATTTACTTATTATGATTTTCATCTTTCATTGTTGAGTGTGCTCCAAAATTTTCTCTAAAAGTCCGAAGCAATTTCTTTTTTTTTTTTTTTGCTGTTTTTTTTTTCTTGTTCTAGTTTTAGATCCAGACTCTATTTTTCTTTTCTTCTTGTTCTAGTTCCAGAATTTAGACTCTGTTTTTCCTTTCTTCTTGTTCCAGTTCCAGAATCCAGACTGTTTTTTTCTTTTTCTTGTTCCAGTTTCATACTCTGTTTTTTCTTTTTCTTGTTCTAGTTCCAGACTCTGTTTTCTTTTTCTTGTTCCAATTCTAGACTTTTTTTTAATTATTTTTTTTTTGATGTCTGAAACTCTGATGACTCTCCGAAGCAATCTCTGTTTCTTTGCTGATTTCATTTTTTTCCTACATACACATCCATGTTCGTTCCAGATTGGTTTTTTTTTTTTCAATTAATTTGTTCTTTTATATTGGATGACTCTTCTTACATCATTTGGTTTATTATTTTTTCATGGATTAACAGACATGGCAAGTGGAAGTGGATCCACAAGTACCTCCTCAAAATCAAAAAAATCAGAAGATGATATTGGGTGGAAATACAACAAATTAGTAGACCCTAATAATACAAGTCGCATGATGTGTAACTTTTGCAATAAAGTTACAACTGGTGGGATAACTAGAGCAAAGCGACATCAAATAGGGATTAAGGGAGATGTGGCAGCTTGTCCTAGTTGCCCACAAATGGTTAGGGATGAATTGTTTGCAAACCTTCAAAAGAAAAATTTAGAGAAGGATATGTTATCTGGTGGCAATAGTAGTTTTGATGATGATTTTGGTTTTGGTGATGATGAATAGGAAGTTGAATTAAGAGAATTGCCAAGAGGATTTGTTGGTTCTAGTTTATCTATTGGAGGGTCTAAGAACAAAAAGGCTAAGACAACCGGAGGAGCTAAAGGCCCGATGGACTTATTTATGTATCAAAAGCCAGAAGCTGTTCTTGAAAAGAGAAAGTTGAAACATGACAAGGGTAGACAATTAAATATGAAAGAGTATGACAAAGAAATGAGGCCATTGACAATTCAATATATTGCCCGATTCTTTTATGAAAATGGGATTGCATTCAATGTGGCCCGTTCAACAAGCTTCAA